CCGCGGCCGGGCCACGAGCGACGCGCTGCGGCCCCAGGCATCGGGCGTCTCGAAGAAATCGAGGCGGAGGTGTTTCTCGGTTTTCGGCCTCTCGGGGCCCTCGCCGGGGCCCCGGGGCCGTCCAAAAACGGCTCGGGATGGAAAGCCGGTCCCAGGGAAGTGGTCGGGAGGTCGGGGGCCCGCGCCTCGCAAAAATCGAGACGTCGGATGTCTGGGGACGCGCTGCGGCACCTGCCACGAGAGGGTGCCGTCGTCGTGGCATCGTGTTCTAGACACCGCTGTGCGGTTCTTGCACGTCCCCAGCTCGCCTCGAGTCCAGCTGCGGCGCACCACCGCTATTCAGAAGCGGCCGAGCGCCCGAACCCAAATGGTCACAGACGTCGGGCGCCCTGAAGCGGGGGCAAACCCGCAGGGGATCGACGAGGAGGGGGAGAGAGAGAGAGAGGAGGGGCGAGAGAGGGAGTGAGCTGGGAGGAAGATGGAGGGGAAGGTGGGAGTGAGGAGGAGGGTGGCGTGCAACGCGTCTTGGGCGAAGAAGCGCGCCCAGAATCCAGCATGGTCTGCAGCCTGATCCGCGGACCGCAGGAACTGGGGCCCCAGGCCCCAGGAGGCCGGTCGGGACGATGCGGGGGTCCCCGAAGGCTCTCGGGGATGCCATCGATCGCTCCGATCGGGATCGATCGACGGATGGCACTGGATCGGTCAAGCCTGATCGAGCCTTGATCAAGCGATCAGGATGTTCGGAGGATGAGGCCTAGCGTGATGAACTGGTACCCCTTGAACCTCAGTATGAAGCTGACGAGCTGGAACTCCTCCCCCCTGTCCATCACCAAAAAGGTGAAGAGGAACCACAAGGGGTTCACCGCGGCTACTGGCACAAGAGGAATCAGCTGGAACAGAACCCAGAAAGGATCGCGCATTTTCCTCCAGAGGCTCTTGTCGTAAGGGAACATGTGGTACCTGAAGAACGCCCGGAAGCAATCCACGCCAGGCTGCTGCTCAGCTGCGTCTTCCGCTCTGCCGTCCAGTTTCACCGACAGCTCCCACAAGATCTCATCCCTCACGTCCGGCCACACGGCATCGACCAACCGGTCCTTTCCTCTGCTCAACGCCCCTGGCATCTCCTCGTCGTCGAGCGCATCCTTCACAGCGCCAGGCACCTTCTCGATCAGCCTCGCCGCGAGGTCCTGGATCTGCTGCTTCACCCACCTCTCGACGATCGCCTTCGCCCTGGCGCCCAGGTCCGCCGCCTTGTCCTGCGCGGCCGACTTCACCGACCCCACCGCCGCGCTGGCCGCCGACGCACCCGCGGCTGCCACGGTGGCCGCGTTGGTCGCCGCGGCAGTCGCTGCGGCAGCGGCTGCCGCCGTGGACGCATTGGTCGCAGCGGCGGTCGCCGCTGTGCTTGCTACGGTCGCCGCCGAAGTGGCCGCGGTGGTCTTCACAGTGGTCGCCGCGGTGGCCGCGGCCTTGCCGATAGTCGCGCTGGCGCCGGTGATGCTCGAGAAGACGCCTTTGCTCTTGCCCGCGCCGCCTCCCTCGCTATCGCTGAAGCTGGCAAGCTCCGCGCCGTCGCCCTTGCCTCCGGCAGAGTTGGGATCTGGCGCGACGCGCGTCGACATGGCGCGGAGGAGAGCTAGTCGAGCCAATGGCAGCCCTCCCGCCTGGCCGAAGTCCGCTCGAGATCAGTCCCCGGACCTCTCCCGGGGTCCGTCCTGGCGCGCTCCTCGACGCGGATCGAGCCGTGGCGACGAGAAGCCTCCAGGAGGCCCACAGGGAGCTGCACAGCTCCCCCCCGGGCCGTAGGCGGCCCGAGGAGGAGGAGGAGGAGGAGGAGGAGGAGGAGGAGGAGGAGGAGGAGGAGGAGGAGGAGGAGGAGGATGGGAAGAGAGAAGGGGGAGGAGGAGAGGAGAGAGGAGAGGAGGGGGAGGAGGAGGAGGAGGAGGAGGAGGAGGAGGAGGAGGAGGAGGAGGGGTCGCCTCAGCCCTCCAGAGAAGCCCCCCGAGCGCCGCCGTTCTCTCGACTGGCCCTCCTCCGGATGGTCCATCCACCGGCGCCGCCTGGCTCGGCAGAGGCCGCCCGCGGGCTTCGCGGCCCGAGCCGCCGCGGCTGCGGCCCAGCGGGGGGGCCCACCCCCTGCCTGCCAGGAGCCGACGCCTCGCCGCGGAGTCGAGACGCCGAAAGGGCCCCCGGGGCACGCGCACAGACGGACACCCAGACATGATCGCGTCGTAAAAAAATCAGGACGGGATGCTTTTCGCTATTTTCGGTCCCTGGGGGCCCTCGCCGGGCCCCGGGACCGTCAAAAAACGATTCAGGACGACAAGCCGGCCCCAGGGAAAGGGTCTGGGGACGCCGTCCTGAAAAAATCAGGACATCGCATGTCTGGGCACGGATCCCAGGTTTCCCGATAGTTTCCCAGATTTTCTGGGCTTTCGGCTTCCCCCCCCCAGCCTCCCCCTGGTTTCCCAGATGCTCCTGGGAGTCGTCGACTCATCGTGTCTGTGTGTGTGTGTTTGTTCCCCTCCTGAGCATCGGATGCCAGGGAGGAGGAGCGCGTCCCAGAAGGGGGGTTCGCAGGTCCTGGCCGGAGGCACGTGCGTGGATGAGGGAAGGCCCAAAGTAACGTGCTGAAAGAGGAAGGTCCACCAAATCCAGGGCGACCTCATGGCCCGGGCCATGATGTCCACCCCCGCCCTAGGCATCCACCCCCCTCTTGGACTTGGCGGCGAGCGAGGGGGGGAACTGAGAAGGAGAAGGCCCTTTTCAGACGCCTCGGAAGTCCCCTGGCCGTCTGAGAAGTTTTCTGAGTCTTCCCCGGAGACACAACAAAAAAAACTCAGAAGGCGCGAGGGCTTCTGAGAAGTCCCGCCCCCTACTGAGAAGGCCTTCTCCTTCTCATTTCCCCCCCTCGCTCGCCCCCTCCTGGACGCCCCCAGCACACCCGCGACCTTGGACCGGGGAGCACCTGGCTCGAGAGGCTCCGTCACCTGGACTGGCACGACCCCGACCTGCATCGCCAAGGTCCAGGGCGCGGAGGAGATCCGAGATGGTGACACGGAGCGGGCACGAGATTACCAACCTCCTCATCATGGACCGTGGGCGCACGGTCCAAGGAGGACGGCCAAGACGACGGCGACGACGACGACACAAGCACCACGACCACGTCGTCAACGTCGTCGTCGTCGTCATCTTTGTCGTCGTCATCATCGTCGCCGCCGTCGTCATGCTCGTCGTCGTCGTGGTCGTCGTCGTGATCGTCGTTGTCGTGGTCGTCGTCGTCGTGATGGTCGACGACGTCGTCGTCGCCGTGGCCGTTCATCGTCGTCGTCGTGATCATCGTCATCATCATGGTCGTCGTCGCGGTCGTCGTCGCCGTCGCCACCACCGTCGTCGTCGTCGCCGCCGCAGCCGTCGCCACCGTCGTCGTCATGCTCGTCGTTATCGTCGTCGTCATCATCGTCGTCGTTGTCGTCGTCGTCGTAATGATGATCGTCGTCGTCGTCGTCGTCATGCTCATCGTCGTCGTCGTCGCCGCCGCCGCCGCCGCCAACGTCGCGGTCATCGTCGTCGTCGTCGTGGTCGTCGTCGTCGTCGTGGTCGTCGTCGCCCTCCTCCTCCTCGTCGTCGCCCGTCGTCGTCGCCCGCCGTCGTCGCCCGCCGCCATGGTCGTCGCCGTCGTTCGCGGTCCCCGTCGTCGTGGCCCTCGTCGGCCGTCGTCCTGGCGGGACGGGCGGGTCCTTCGCGGAGGATCGGTCGGCCCTGCTCTCCACCTGTACCGCCGTCGAGGAGCCGAGCGGGTGGTCGGCGAGGCCTCCAGCCACGGAAGGGCCCCGACCTGCGGCCGGCCGGGCGCTCCATCGCCCCTCCTCCGTGTCCTGCGGAGTCCTCGTGGACGCTCCACAACTTCACTCCTCCCTCTGCCCTCCCCCCCCTCGTCCTCCTCCTCCTCCTCCTCCTCCTCCTCCTCCTCCTCCTCCTCCTCCTCCTCCTCCTCCTCCTCCTCCTCCTCCTCCTCCTCCTCCTCCTGACGCGTCAAGGACGGCCAGCGGCGGAAACGAGGGATGTTTTCTCTCTCTCGAGAGAGAGAGAGAGAGAGAGAGACATGGTGTCGAAAGGTGCCTGAGTCAAAACAGCAGCGGATGCGCGCACACGTGCGAACATATATGTGTATGACAAGTAAATATACAGGCAGTACAGGAGATGATTAAGCTCAAACAGCTCACAATTCCACAGCGGACCTAAATTTTTGTGAGCTTAAATCCATCTCACCTCGCAGCCACTGTGAAAACTGTACACGAGGAACTGAAATACAACTCGAGAGACTTCGTCGTCGTCACGACCGGGACAGTTGTCGAAGGGAGGCGGCTCGGGATCGATCTCGGGAGGTCGGATCTTCGCGTCGGGTGGAGAGACTGTCCTCTTCTGGGGTGAGCTTCATCATGCCCGACTTCAGCATCTGCAACTGGGCCGCGTTGCATTTTGCTAGATCGGCTTTAGTTAACGCGTCCACTGTCATCACCGGGTGTGGCACCCACCTTATAGTCCCTCCAAAGCGCCCCAGGGTGTCCCAACAGACCGAGAGGTCGATAGCTGATCGCCTGTCATTTTTTCGAACCCGTCGAGTCCCGCTCTAGAGTGTCGAAAATCCCTTTAGCGTCGACTATGCTCAAGTGTCCTTCCTGCTGGACATTCAGGGAGCAGTCCGAACGAAGAACAGCGGCGAACGGACCAAGCTTATCTCGCCACTCCTCCGTGACCACCCCGCCCCTCAACACGTCCAGGTACAGGAGCTGTAACCACTCAGCTTCTGCTAGAGCCCCGGAAAGAGATTGAACCTCGCCGGCCAAGGTAGAGGGAACAGCTCGCTTAGCGCGATGGGATCGCCAAGCTAGAGGAGAAACTCGTGCTCTGGATCCTGTGGACAAAGAACGATCTGCTGCGTATACCTGCCAAGCTAGCTGGGCCTTATCGGAGTCGCTGGCGGCACCCCCTCCGGCGTCCGAGGAAGTGACAAAGATTAGGTCGTCGGGGCGGAATTTCCATATAGTTATGGGGATAGCTGCTGTCTGCCGAAGATGATCTACCATTTTGTTAGCCAGCAGAGCGTCGCCCACCGTCGGAGATTCCACTCGAGAAGCCAAGATGGACGCGGTGCCGCAAGCCTCTGCCCGAGTCTCTCGGCCGACCCAATTGAGTCGATAAATGAGCGACCTGAACTCGATTTTCTCGCGGCCCAACAAGGGCTGATCATGCCTACAGGGGGCGATCCCACGCTCGAGCACCCATGTCCCGAACGCGGTTGGCCTGGATCAGGGCGAGCTCCCTCAGCCGAGCTGGGCCGGGCTGTTCCCCGCCCTCTCGGTTCGCCTCTGGCTGTATCTCCGAGGGGGGATGCGACTGAACCCCGGAGCCGACCGAACTGGGATCCTGGGAGACGGAGGCCGAGCCGGGAGAGGCCGAGAGCTCTTCAGAGATGCCTGGCATGCTCTCGTCGATACTAGACTGGACAAGCTCGGGACCTCTACGCTCGCTGCCAACGCTGACCTCGCCGGCCGACTCGTTCTCCCCCTCGGACAACCTGTCGGATGGAAGATCCGTGCGAGAGGAGACCTCGCGAGACATCGAGCGATCCTCTCTCCCACCCGAAGAAGCCGCAGAAGCCGGCACCGCGGGTGGAGGCACCGCGGGCGGAGAAACCTCAGCACCTGGCTCGCCCGCCGTCCGACGGGCTGGGGGGAGCTGGCCAGGATCCGGAGCCGCAGGAGCCGGAGGGAGCGGAGGCTGCATCCCCTCTCGATCACCCCCGACCGGACCGTGCCTCTCTTCGTCCGGTGGGGGACCTTCCCTGGACACGTCGACCCCGGCTCTCTGGGACCCGGACTGGACCTGACGAACCAACTCCTGGAGGGCCGTGTCCTGAAGCATTTCGGCCCCGCGAGCCTCCGGGCCGGACGCATGTCGAAGCTGCTCCGCGGCACATTTCCAAAGACGGGATCTCATGGAGACCCAAACGGAATTCCCGCACTGGAAAACAACACGGCCCGGGCCGCACCACTTGTCCCTCTGCAGGGCGTAGGTTTTCTTCTGCTGCAGAGCTGGGGCCCGTCTCCACACATACACCCAGTCGCCTGGAGCGCACTTTTGATCCCGATGCCTGGGAGCTCGAGCAGCCGAGTGAACCTTCCCCCGGCAGATGCCCTCGAACAACATGGTCCAGGCACGCCTCCTGATGGCCATGGCCCGGGCAAAATCCGCGGCCGCGGTGCCCTGATCCCAACCCCCCTCGGACATGTCGTCGAGTCCTACTTGATTGACCGGACCATCGGAAAGAAGGTCCTGGGGAACCCTGGGGTTCTTGCCGAACACTAGCTGGTTCGGAGAGAACCCTCCACGGTGGAGGTAAGAATTCTTGGCCGCCGTGATTTCGCAAACCAACAGCTCGAGCTCGCGCTCGTTGGACACCATGGCCCCCTCGGAACCTCTGAGAGCCAAGTCCTTGACCCATCCGCCGTGTCTCTCACAGCGGCCGTTCTCCCACGGAGCCTCCGCACTGGTGATGCGCTGAAAAGTGCCGCGCTGCTCGGCCCCCCGAGAGAACTCGCCCTGGAATTCGGGTCCTCCGTCGGAGATCAAGAGCTCCGGGGGGCCAAAATATCGCACCCACGACGACGCGAAACACTCCCACGCTTCTCGAGCCCCTCCCTCATATCTGGCCACCACCTGGTAATTCGTACCGTGGCAGATCATATTGAGGAAGGTCAACAAAGTCTCACCGAACTTAATGCGGAAAGTATCCACCGCAATGACCCGGTTAAACTGGTACGCGCGGGGCATCGCCACATATCTCCGATGGGCGGGGCGCGGGTGTGATTCGCAGTCTGGACATGCAAACTCTCTCTTCACACACTGCAAAACCTCTGGCCTCGCATGGGCGCCGCGGAGAATCTGCAGAAACAAGGGGCGAGCGGGGTGTCCGAGATTAACGTGCACCCTCTGCATCAGGTTGCGCAGCCTGGCATCGATTTCCAGGGGGGGGGAATCCGAACGTCCGGGCCCGACGGATGATTCGAGACCTGGAGTCGCCTCGTCCTCCTCGGGACCCTCGTCCAAAGCCCCCTCTGGGTCGACCACAGAAGGGAGGCAAGACCACAGCACATCTGGAACTACGGTGGAACTGGGTTCAACCTGACACGGGAGCTCCTTGCGAATCCATCCGATCACGTCCGAGGTCCGAGCCATCCTGGCCCTCCTGTCCAGCACCCCTCTGGCAACAGTGGCCAGGTGACGCACAAGGTTGGGGGGGTAGACCTGCGCCTTGGAGGTCTGAGCTGAACCCCGAAGGACGTGATGAGGGCGGTCTCCCTCGCACCGAAAACTCGAAAGAGAAGCCACAAACTCCGAGTCGTCACTGATGATGCGGGTTGGCTTCTTGGAAAGCTCGCCGCTGCTGTCAACGCACAATCCGAAACGGCACATGTCGAAAACAGTCGACTGAACACCTGGAAGAGACCAGAGCTTTTCCATGGGAGCCGACTTCCAACTAGACGCCCCTTCGGGATGTTCTAGAACAAAGACCCCTCCAAGTGACACTTGGAGCTCGGCCAACTCCACCGCGAAACGAAGCAAAATCATGCCCTCGACCACCGCCCTAGCTCGCACAGCGGGGTCCATCACATTTTTGGAAATCTCGAAAGCCACGCTGAAAACCCGGCAGGGCGGCTCCAGGAAAAGGACCCCGGGTCTCCTCGAAAGGACGAGCTCGCGAGCCAGAAGACGGTCCCTGGATCGCCGAAAATCCCAGTCCGTGGAAAGGTCCAGACTTCCGTGATCGGCAACGCCCAGCTGGCGCGCCACCGGGCATATCCTTGGTGGAGAGAAGACCTCCATCACTCCCCGAGACATTCCCTCCTTCCTCCGACGACCGACCTCACGACGGGAGGAGGGAGGAGAGGAGAGGGGACGAGTCCTGTAGCGAGGCAGAGGCAGCAGAGGTTGAACGAGCGCTCGAATCGGGCGGACACGCACGGGTGGAGGTTCCCCGAACCTCAGCATCTGGAGGTGCTTGGTGTCCTGGTGGCTCTTGTTGTCCTCCGCTGCTCTTTCCTGACTCGGCCGCAATGAGAGTCATGAGGCTTTTCTCCATTTCTCGACGTTGTCGCTTCGAAATCGTCGTCTCGTAGTCGTCGTTAAACTCTGCATCCTGGATGGCGGAGGCCCAGCCGTCGTGACGGACAACTAGGTGGCACTCGCCCTCGACAGGAAAAGAGCTCGAGGGATCTCCCGAGCTGAGAAGCGCCTGCAACCGGTCGCCCTGCTTGCCAAGAAGAACCCATGAGTGCCCCATATCCCGATGCTTCTTCCACATCTCCCCCTTGCACCTTGGGAAATAGAATAGCTCGGACGCCGGCGCATTCAGCTGGGAAACTGCCTGCTGAAGATAAAGAGATTCACAACCGACCTCACTCACGAACCGGCTCATGCCGCAGCACGTGCCCCGCTCAGCGACAAAGATGCCAGCGCAGCTGCCGCCGGCTCCTCTTAGGACTCCTTCCCCGCTGCGATCGGCATCTCCGGCGCCGGCGACTGGGAGACTGGCTGACCGATCACCTCCCACTTGTCGGCCTGGCGCGGCGTGCCCGGAATCGCCGTCATGACCGCTGCCTCCTGGCACTGCTGGATCTGGGCCAGGTGCGGCTGCATGAGGAACTGCAGAGCCTGGCTGTGCTGCTGGATGTGCTCGTTCTGCTGCAGAATCGCGTCCTTCAGCTCCTTCAGATCCTTTGCAAGGGTACTCTCCGATGTCCTCGGTCGGCTCTTCCGCTCCACCTGGGCCAGCTCGCCCACCTGCATCGGTAAGTAGGAAGGCCTCGACGTGGCCTCCGAGTGGACCGGCACCTTCACCGCCGCCGGGCTCCTGGAGGTGTCGGTCTTGACCAGCTTGGTCAGGAGCTCCTTCCTGTCGTCCTGGCCCTTGTTGTAGCGACGGATGTTCGGCATCGCAGCACCGCTCAATGATCCCGACCCGGGCCCTGAGCCATGATTCGGGTCGTCCTTGATCGCCAGGAGCTGGGGCTGCACCTCGATCTTCGGGGCATTCCAGTAGGCCAACCTCAGGTCGCAGTCGATGCACTTGATCCAGGTCGCGCTCGCGTTGGCCCCGACTCTGCGCCTCAGCGGGTCGCGGCGACACTGCAGCATCTGGATCGTGAACTGGCGCTGCTTGCGAGTGAAGGCCACCGGCCAGAGTCGCCCCGAGCGGCTCATGTCGAGAAGCGACAGGCTGAGCGCCTCCTCTATCCTGAGGCTCTGCGCGACCACGTGGACCCAGCGGAGGCGCTTCATCTGCATCCCTTCCGGCACGTCCCGGCCGGTCAGGACATAGTGTTGGTCTGTCATGCCGCTCACGTGCGGAATCTCCCAGTAAGCTCTGAGTGGAACTCTGAAGGGAATCACAAACCGTGATGGGTTGGAGGCTCGAGCAAAACGAAACGGACCGGGACGCCGCGGAGGCGCAGTGGTTTTGAGGAACGTTTGACGCGTTGGAACGTTCTGGCGTATTTTCTCGAGCTGCGTCCGGACCGCTGCTAACGAGAGCTCCCTTTGCTGACCCCTTTTGCTCCCCACGGCCTGTCATATCGCACGATACTGATGCTGGATAAGCTGGAGCTGGAGCTGATATCCACGCTGGGAAGGCTGGAACCGTAGCTGGGCATGGTACGGCATCTGCTGGAAGTGCTGAATAAGCTGAAATCTCGACCAACTCGTGAAGGGACGGCTCGCACCGATCTTGGACTGGATCCCTGAACCCTTGGCTTGGACCCGGGACCCTCGATCTACCCTCGCCGTGCCCCCCCGACTGGTCGTCCGACGTCGCCAAAACGACGCTGTCGCCGCCGTCTCTCCTCGACGCCTTATACTGCGGAACAGGCTGCCGCACAAAATCAGACTTCGAGACACCGAACCTGCTCGACACCGACTCTGGAACATGAAAATCGTCGGAAGAGCCTAACTTGTCAATCCGGATGGTCCGATGTCCCGACGGAAGTGCCTTCAGCGGCGTCGTCGTGACTAAATTCTTGAAAGTGACCTTCTCTTCTGGAAGGTCTATGACAGCTCCTAAGGCCTCCTGCATGCCAATTGGCATCAAAGCTGGAACCTCCTCGCTGATCGCATCGAGTTCCATCACTCCGAGACGGCCCTCTATCCCAGTAGGGACCAGAAGACCGGTCAAAACACTGGTGCGGCCTCCCACCCCCTGGGCATGTTTGTTGGCACTGGGCACCCGGGGGATCCGAAAACCGAGCGCGGCGAGCCCCTCGTCCAGCTTCGAGAGGGACTCAGGGCCTATGAGCCCTTGGCCCGCCGCCGCATCTACAATGATCTCCCCACCGGGTGTGGTCAGAAAAAACCTGCGGAGCCAGCTCAGGAGATGGGGAGGTGGAGACGACCGATGACCGAGCCTTCTCGATCAGCGCCTCCAAGGGGTTCTGGTCGAACGCCGTCATCAGCACCAGGCCAGACGAGGAGGGCCCGCCGTTCGTCAAGACGAAGAATCCCTGCTTCGGCGACGTCCCCGGGGGACCTGATGCTGGAGGGTTCGGGCACTCCTTGGCCCAGTGGCCCTTCTGATGGCACTTGTGGCATTTCGTGACTTTCATTAACTGCTGAGGAGATAATCTCGCCTTGCGAGGTCGATACTGTCCGTCTTGTCCACGATGCGGTCGCGGAGGACGGGCCCCTGGGTGAGCAGGGGGCGGCGTCGGGAAATAATTCCGGTCTACCTTCAGCCGCCTCTTGTAGTCCTTGTTTTCCTTCCACGTCCTGCGCCTCTCGGAGGCGAGCTCTGCCAAAATGGTTGGGACTTCTAGCTCCGAGAGGTCTGCTTTGTCTACCGTCACCAGCACCGTCTGCTCCTGACTGGAATCCATGGATGAGACACTGCTGGCATCCTCGTCGTCGTAGAACACAGGCTGCGACGTCTGCTCGAACTCTGCGAACGTCTTCTTGCCCTGGGTCAGGCTCTCATTTCGCTGCATATCCATCTCTCGAATGGCGTGGAGCAGGTCCTGGTATTCTCCCGAGTTCTTACTGAGAATCTTGAGCATCTGCTTCTGTGAGTCGCCCAGGCCGACTCCTTCCTCAATGAACAGGCGTCGCCACTTGCTGTTCAACTCGAGCCCCTGCGAGGAGAGGCGTTCGAACACTTGGTCCATCCTGGCCACGTAGATGCTCAGCGCCTCGCCCTGCCGGCGCTGAAACCCGAACAAGCACTCGCGGCCGGCCCGTCTCATCTCGTCGTCCTGCCTCTGGCCGCTGAGCACGTCCAAGCGATCGAAGATCGCCTGCGGGCCGGCCTCGGAAACGAGGATGTCGTCCGATAGGTCCTCGAACTTCTTGCGTAAGTCGAGGTCCAGCACCTTCGGGATCTTGTCTGCACGACGGCCGACCGAGACACCGGTCCCGGCTAGCCAGCGCCGTATGCCTCGGCGCCACAGGCGGTACTCGCCCCACCCCAACCACGCGTCGGGGTCGCTCAGATCAGGCTTCTCCCACCACGAAGATGACCAGTCCTCTGGGGACTGCCGCCACGTACTGCTGCTGCTGCCGCGCCAGTGTCTGGCGCTCCACTTCTTCTGGCCCAAGTCCGCGTCGTCCTGAGAATTTTTCGGCGCGTCGGCCGAGGCTGACCACCAGCCTCTGCCTGCCCATCGCGCTCCTTCATTCTCGCCGACGCCTCGCTTGGATCCTTCCCGCCAGGGATCGTTGCCGAGCTCCTCCCACGGGTCGGGCCCGGATGCTGAGTCGCGGGCCGGTTGAGCCGCACCTTCCGACGTAGGGCCCGCGGTACCCGAGGCGGCCAAGGCCGCCTTGATCTCCTCGCGCAGAATGCTCCTCAGCTCGAGCGCCTGCGCCGATATGAAACTGCCGCTGCTGCCAGTCGCGCCCTGGGGCGCGCCACTCTGGGCCTCGCGGCCTCTCTGGCCTTGTTCTCCCTGAGAGTCATCCTTATCTCGATCGCCACTGCTAGCAGCCGGAGGCTGCCCGTCCGCCGGCATGGCGGCGGTCACTGGAGACGGCCGGGGAAGACCGACCGCTCCGCTACCACTGACGCGTCAAGGACGGCCAGCGGCGGAAACGAGGGATGATTTCTCTCGAGAGAGAGAGACATGGTGTCGAAAGGTGCCTGAGTCAAAACAGCAGCGGATGCGCGCACACGTGCGAACATATATGTGTATGACAAGTAACTATACAGGCAGTACAGGAGATGATTAAGCTCAAACAGCTCACAATTCCACACTCCTCCTCCTCCTCCTCCTCCTCCTCCTCCTCCTCCTCCTCCCTCCTCCTCCTCCTCCTCCTTCTCCTCCTCCTCCTCCTCCTCCTCCTCCTCCTCCTCCTCCTCCTCCTCCTCCTCCTCCTCCTCCTCCTCCTCCTTTCTTCTTCTTATTCTTATTATTATGATGTTTCATCATATTATTTTTCTTATTATTAAATATACTATTACCATGCAACACCCATCACGGGGGTAGAAACCAATTGGACCTAGTGTATTTGCTGGGGCGTCACGCTGTCACCCTGCTCATCCTTTCCTCATCATGCTCGTCCTCCTCCTCATCCTTCTCCTCGTCCTCCTCCTCCTCCTTTTCCTTGTCCTCCTCCTCCTCCTCCTCCTCCACGTCCTCCTCCTCCTCCTCCTCCGCCTCCCCCTCCCTACCTCGGGCGTGATGGACCATGGGACCTCATGGAGCCTCCTGGTAATCCCGGGGGCCTCCTGGGATAGCAACCTCTGGGGACTTCCTGCGGCCTCTTGAAACCTCCTGGGCTCTCCTAGGGTATCCTCAGCCCTCCAGGGGCGTCCGCAGCGTTCTGGAACTTTTGGGTCGTTCAGGATACGCCCGGAGCGTGATGGGACCTCCTGGGGCCTTGTGGGACCTCGCGGGGCATCCTGGGAACTCCTGGAGCGTCCTGGAGCCTCCTTAGGATTCCCACGGCCTCCGGGGACGTCCTGAAGCCTCCTGGAGCTTCCTGATGCCTCCTGAGACCTCCTGGGGCCTCTTGGCGGCTCTCTAAGAAGCCACGCGCGGGGCCTCAAAATTGGCGACAGTTTCAAGGATGGGAGCCTTCCCATTGAGAAAGAGGGCGCGGTGGACGTTGAAAAATGACGACAGTTACACACTTGAGGCCCAAAACCGTGCCGGGCGCCCCCCCCGCCATTCCCGGTCCTGCATAGTACGGTGCGATTTGCCCCCTCCCCGCTGTCCCGCCGGTCCCCGGGAGGGCTAGTTTTCTGGTTTTCGCTGGTAAGAAACACTTCCCCCCCCCCCTTCTCGGCGGTGACGGAGGGCAGGCGGCGGGGGAGAGCGGGTTGGCAGGGTGGCTGGTTGGGCACGGAGAGCAGGCGGAGGGGATCGGCTGGTTGGCGGGATGACGGGGTGGGCGGCTGGGCTGGTTGGCTGACGGGTTGGCTAGGTGGCGGGGTGGCTGGGTGGGCTGGCTGGCTGGTTCGACGGGTTGGCAGGTTGAGCTGGCTAGGGCAATTAGTTTCGATGATGATGATTATTATTATCATCATTATTATTACTATTATTATTATTATATTATTATTATTAGTATTAGTATGATTATTATTAGTATTAGCATTATGATTATTATTATGATTAGTATTATTAGTAGTATTAATAATATGATTAGTATTATTAGTAGTAGTAGTAGTAGTAGTATTGTTAGCATTGTTAGTATTATTATTATTAGTTTTATTATTACTATTATTATTAGTAGTAGTAGTAGTAGTAGTATTAGTATTAGTATTAGTATTAGTATTAGTATTAGTATTAGTATTAGTGTTATTATTATTAGTATTACTAGTAGTATTATTAATATTATTATTAGTATTATTAGTATTATTAGCATTAGTACTATTATTGTTAGTATTATTAGTATTATTATTAATAATAACAATAATATTATTATTGCTGTTATTATTATTGTGATTATTATTAGTAGTAGTAGTACTAATATCATTTGTATTATTATTATTAGTATTAGTATTATTATTGTTATTATTAGTGATAACATTATATTATTACCATAATCATTAATACTATTAGTATTACTATTATTTGTTATTAGTACTGTTGTTGCTACAAATATTATTAGTCTTATTCGTATCATTCCTATTACTATTACTATTATCAGTCTTCTTGTTTTTCTTATTAGTGTACTGATTCTTATTATTCGTATAATTATTCTTAATAGTTTTCTAACTATTTGTCTTAGTATTATTCCTCCTCCTCCTCGTGTTCTTCATCTTCTTACCCTTATTCCTCCTCATCCTCCTCCTCCTCCTCCTTCTCCGCCGCCGCCGCCGCCTCCTCCGTCTCCTCCGCCTCCTCCTCCTCCTCCTCCTCCGCCTCCTCCGCCTCCTCCGCCTCCTCCTCCTCCTCCTCCTCCTCCTCCTCCTCCTCCTCCTCCTCCTCCTCATCATCACATCATCATCATCATCATCATCATCATCAATCATCACCATCATCACCATCATCATCATCATCAATCATCATCACCACCACCACCACCACCACAACCACCACCACCACCACCACCACCATCATCATCATCATCATCATCATCATCGTCGTCGTCGTCGTCATCATCATCATCATCATCATCATCGTCGTCGTCGTCGTCGTCATCATCATCATCATCATCATCATCATCATCATCTTCATCATCATCATCATCATCATCATCATCATCATCATCATCATCATCATCATCATCATCATCATCAATCATCCGCCTCCGCCTCCTCCGCCTCCGCCTCCGCCTCCGCCTCCGCCTCCGCCTCCGCCTCCGCCTCCGCCTCCGCCTCCGCCTCCGCCTCCGCCTCCGCCTCCGCCGCCGCCGCCGCCGCCGCCGCCTCCTCCTCCTCCTCCTCCTCCTCCTCCTCCTCCTCCTGCTCCTGCTCTCGCTCCAGGGTCTTTCCATGAATTCCCCCTCCTCGCCCCCTCTCTCTCTTTCCCTCCCCTCCCCCCCCCCCCTCCCCCTCCCCTCCCCCGCGCTCTCTCCTCTCTCGCCCTCCCGCCCCCGCGGGCTGGGTCGGGCCGGGACGGGCCGGGCCAGGCCGGGCGCGACCCCGCCTGCTCCCCCTCCCTCCTGCTCAGCCAGCTCTTCCCCACGCCTTGAAAAAATCGAGGCGGAGGCTTTCCGCATGTTTCGATCTCGAGGGGCCCTCGCTGGGGCCCGGGACCGTCAAAAAACGGTTCAGGATGAGAAACCTGTCCCTGGGTATGGGTCGGGACTTCTGGGGACCCCGCAGTGAAAAAATCACGACGTCGGATCTCTGGGGAGGGAGCGGGTGCGGGAGCGGGTCGGGGCGGGTGGGAGGCCCAGACCTGCGGCGCCCTGCTTTTGCCAGGGCGGCGCCCCCAGAAGTCCAGACCCTTCCCCAGGGGCCGGCTTGTCATCCCGAGCCGTTCTCTTGACGGCCCCGAGGCCCGGTCAGGGCCCCCAGGGGCCGAAGACAGCGAGACAAGCTTGCCGCCCTGATTTTTGTTCTCGAACGACGCGATCATCTGAAGGGGCCCTGGGACACACAAATAAATACACACAAATAAAAAGATTCCCCATATTTTTCCATATCTTCTGGGCTGTCTTCCCCCCCACTTCCCATATTTTCCGATACTTCCTGGGGAATCGACGATGAATTGTGTCTGTGTGTGTTTTGCTCCCCCCTGATCATCTCTGGGGAGGTCGGGCCCGAGAGCAGTCGACAAAGGGGAGGGGGGGGGGGGAGCTGGCCGCCCTCCGCGGGCCGCCGGCCCTCGCCCCAGAGGGGCTCGATCTCCCTCTCTGGGCCGCAGGGGGGGGGGGGGCGCGGGGGCAAGTGGCGGCGGAGCGCAGGCTCAGGGGTCGCGCCGCCCCCCCCCTCCTCCTCCTCCTCCTCCTCCTCCTCCTCCTCCTCCTCCTCCTCCTCCGCCTCCTCCTCCTCCTCCTCCTCCTCCTCGCCTCCTCCTCCTCCTCCTCCTCCGCCTCCTCCTCCTCCTCCTGCTTCTCCTCCTCCTCCTCCTCCTCCTCCTCCTCCTCCTCCTCCTCCTGCTTCTCCTCCTCCCCCCCTCCGCGCTCCTGCTCCCAGACACGGTCGCGTCGTGGAAAACAAAAAAAAAAAAAAACTCGGGGCGGCAAGTGCTTCGCCGTCTGCGGCCCCCTGGGGGCCCCTGCCGGGCCTCGGGGCCGTCAGCAAGACGACTCGGGAGGGCAAGCCGGCCCCGGAGAAAAAGCCCCGACTCCAGCTCCGCCCTGCTTTGGCCTTTTTTTTTCCCCCACTTCAAACCGCGTCGGAAATCCACCTATGAGAGGCCGGAGAAGTAGGGCGGAAAAGTTCTGCACCCAACACAAGGGGGGGGCGGGAATCCACAGAAGCGGGGCGGAAACGGCAGCAGAACAGCAGGGCGGAGATCGGCACCAGCGGGGCCCGAGAAGTGAGGCGGAACTTCCAAGCCCTGCTCACGAAGTGCCCCAGAGCAGGGCGGCTCCGGAGGAGTCGGGGAGGGTCTGGACTCCCAGGCGGGGCGCCGCCCCGAACAAAGCAGGACGCCGCACGTCGGGGGTCTGCCACCCTCGGCGGCCCGCAGCCCGGAGGTCCTGGCGCGGCGGCTCCTTCACGGCGGGCGCGTCTCGCTCCGCTTCGGGCCCCGGGGGCCTCGCAGATCGATCCGGCTCGAAAGAGGACGCAGAAGCATGGGGTCTGGGGCCTCTGGGCGTGATTTTTGTTCGATGTTGCGATTTTTGGGCCGCGTCGGATCTCAGGGAAGAGTGGCCCTGGGCAAGCGTGACCTTTGGTGCGCGGCCTCGGGAGGGCGCCCTGGAGGGCCACCACCCAGCGCGCAGGCCACTGCTGTCGCATCGTACTTGGCGATTGGTTGCGACAGATTTACGGATGGAAGGCAGACGGCCTTCAGAATGTGACTCTTGCCTTGCATTCGTTTTAAGGGACCGTACATGGACATTACGTTCGAACCCTGGGGCCCAAGATGCCCCCCGGACCCCCGGAATTAAT